TACCAAGCAGCTGCTATGATCTACCTGCATGGCTGGGCATGGGCAGCCATATAGTATGCAGCCCTTGGCTCAGCTCATTATTTTTAGCCAACTATCACTTCTGCCCACCATTCCTAAGTCCAAGGCTCTTAACTTCTGCTTTTTGGTTGCAACTCTCCATTGCATCCATTCTGGCCTCCGTTGCTCTGCTCCAACAATGACACTTCTATCCACTTTGACCTCCAGAAAGAGGTGGAGAATTTCTTTTGTCCACAGGCCTCTTTTTCTTCATTGATACAGTTTGTATTTGGTATATATTACTTGATGTGGGGTTCTGGATGGAAATGGTTATCCATAAAGTTTTGGCAACCATAGGCCATTCACTGTGGAGATACCAGCCACAGGGTCATAAAGTATCAAAAGCAGCAAGTAGGAGGGCATTATTGAAATACAAGCCTAAGTATGCATGCCTAGTCCACTGTCCTGCATGTCTGTTACCCCTTCTTCACATAGGGTACTCTGAGGCCGGAGTCTCTTACAATTCTCGTCTATTCTACCAGATAGACCCATATTCCACCAGTTATTCTACTTACTGGGTAGACCTTTGAAAACAAAATGGAGTCCAATAAATTCTTGAGAATGAAAATGGTCCATTGACATGTACTCCAGATTCTAGAATCACTAAAGTCCTAAGAGCAGTTGATTCCTTCCCTCATATACCTAATCATTTTGTTCTTTTTTCAATATATATATATTTTTTCAAATATATATTTTTTCAAAACTTTACTTGGAAGCCAGCTCACAAGGGAACACATATTGATCAGAAATACTTCCTCCACCAAAGAAGCTTACAAGTATTTTGGTTTGGTTCATTGGTATGATTTACAACTCATGGTCCCAAGGAAGTATGCCCCTCATCAGAGTAGGCTGACTACAGTGTGCATCAGCTAAAACAGTGTTCAAGAAAATCAAGCATATTTGGGTCTCAGGCTTATCTGGATCTATCCACCCTCCAAAGTCATGTGTCTGTTTGACTTACCCAGTTCATATTAGTAGTTCCAGAAGCAAGTTATATATCAGAGACTTATTGCCTTGGGTTTTTTGGTTCTGGAGTCCAACACTAGAATCATGAATGATAGGACTCCTGATTTATAAGGCATGTTGAAAATATGTTTGTTTCTTCCCCCAATTCCCTCCCATTTTTATGAGTGCTGTTAAGTTGAATTTCAGCATGTTAAGCAATTTGTGACTCACTGAAGTGAAACAACTTAGTCCTCATAAAAATGGAATAAAATGGTATTTCCATGTTTCATATTATGGTTTGAATCAGCGTGCTATTTGGAGCTTAGTGGAATCTACTCACAATGCCATTTTGAAGCTTTGCATCCGACCAACTAGTTACTGTGTTCCCTAAAATTTCCCAAGATTCCTCAGCTACCCTAAAATAGTAAAATTTATAGTTTCAGGAAATATAGGGAAAATCGAGTAAGCAAACAATGGCAGTATTTTTGTAACTTCTCTCTTACAGAAAATGTGAATGGTTTCTACCTTTTCTCCATTGCAATCAAATAATACATCTGTGAATAAATACAGCTCCTCTGCTCACTAGATTTCTTAGTTTTCTTCCCCCTTAAGTTATGATTACTATTATTTTCTTTAACCAATTTTCCTTGCATTACTCATTCTTTAGTACCACAGGAATGCAGATCATTCCATTTTGGCAGTTACTGGAATGAGGCATAAATACTGTATTTGTATTTAATTTTCAATCTTAAGTATGCTCAAAATTTTCGGATAAACTTCATTCACTGTACCTTTAATAATATGGAGTTCTGTGAGATTTGACTGAAGAGTAAACTAAGGTTAATCTTCACCCGTCTAAAAAAGAATAGTGTTAGAAAAATGGCAGATGGAGTATAACTTCTTTCAGAAAGCAAACTGTTTCTCAGAGTTTTAATCTTGTGAGGTGTTTGCAGGCAGGTGTTGCTGCCACCTATGAGGAGGTGGCCCTTTTGCTAGAACAAACGGGAGGCTTTGAGGCAGCTGGCCAACAGGGCATATCCATCCAGAAGAAAGGGCACAGGTTCAGCCTCCTTGCTGGCATGGTAAGGCTACGGAGAAGCATAACATACCATGGAGCATTGGGAAAGATGCCATCGTCTACATTTCTGTGTCCACTCACTGGTTAGCATAGGCTCAGTGCAGCTGATAACAAGTGCAATGATGGTGACAGTGGCTGAGGCACTGTAGATTTACTAGAAGAGGGTTCCCTGGGGATGGAGTAGCATCCAGGAAAGGGAAGACATGTACCCTAATGTCATTCCTATCACATCAGCAATGTACTGATTGTTTGTGCCCCTGTCCCCAATGAATATGTCAAGTCCCAACATGACAGTATCTAGAGATGGGGCCTTTGGGGGTGATTAGTTCATGAGGGTGGAGCCCTTGTGAATGTGATTAGTGCCTTTAAGAGAATAGGCCACCACATGAGGATACAACAAGTGAGCAGTCTACAACCCGGAAGAAAGGCCTCAACCAGAACCGAACATGCGAACACCTAGATCTTGAACTTCTAGCTTCCAGAACAGTAAGATGTAATGCCTGATTTTTGAAAGCCATTCAGGCTGTGGTATTCTGCTACCACAGCCCAAATTGGCTAAGACACGACAAAATAGCAGAATAGGCTTGGGTTTCATGGTACCAGACATCCACAGATTTAAGGCTACTCAAATGGCATGAGTGACATTTTGCCCTTGTTCCACTTACTAGAGGACTGACAGTTCCACTGTCAAGCTACAGGGACAATTCCCCAGATAAAAAGGTTGGGATTAAAAATAAGGTCATGGAAGAGGCCCATTGGCATAGACCACTAGGACCTAAAATTGTCTCCCATAATTGGCTAGAGAATTTCAGGTTTCTGAGAAATGTCTCCCCATTGGCATGAATACTATAGAAGATGTTGTCAAGGGATCTGGGATTGCTGAGCTGGTGATTGGGGAGGTTGTTAGCAAATGAATTAGGGCATTAGTCTATAACACAACAGTAAGCAGGGTGGCCCAGGCAAGCATGCAGTTTAGGAAGAAAACAAACCCTGCACTTGGCTTGCCAGCACGCTTACCAATAACTGTCAGCATTGCTTCTTTTCAGTAATAACCATAAGAATCCTGTTCACATTGTCCAAAAGGAAGGTTCTGGAACACTTTTTGCAGCAAGGAAGCAGCCCTGAGCACCCCATCCAGGAACTTACTGCTGTCTTCTTTCCTGGTGGGTTGCCTTGCCAAGACTCTCAGCACCAAGTGTTTATTGGCCACACTTATCTGGATCTGATAACAAAGTGAGGTAGTGCCAAAGGGGCCTGGACATTGGTTAGTTTTTCCCCTGAAACGCCTCATTTTAGAACTGGCTTGGACTGTGCAGGAAAAAACCCACTCTCATTGAAGGGCTTGCTGCAGGAACAGCCAAGCTGTTGTCTTTCTATCTATTTCTTCCTTTTGTTTATCATTCACTCACAAAACACTGATGTCTACACACTGTGTTAGGCAACGGGGAAGCAAAGAGAATAAAGCAGGTCTGCTGCCTTCCTGCATGGGCCAGTGGACCCAAAGCTTATTCACCAGCTTGTGTATACCCACAATTAAGTGAGGACAACAGTGTCTCCCCACCATGACCCCAGGGATTCCCATTTTTTCAAATACTATGAAGATATCCTTGAAACTAAGCATTAAGAATAGGTGTCAGCATTGGAAGGCATAGAAACTGAAGTAGGAAGAGCCATGTGGTTTCTGGGAAACAGTTTTCTTTTTCTAATAGAATTGATGCATAGAATTTTCTAATTCCTTGATGGCCCTCGGCAAGTGAACTCCTTGATTAGACTCACAGGGGTTGGTGAATGGAGGCCAAAGGAAGTGTGAAAATTGGAAGCCCTCGTCTTCCATCCTATACCAAAGGCATGGTGATTCTGAGCCACCATCTCCAACAGCTCATGGTGGGCTCACCTGCTGAGGCACAGTTGAGGGAATGTGGCTGTAGCCATGACAAGACCAAGCGACTGCAGCTGAGGAAGGAGGCTTCCCGGATGCTATGCTCTGAATGTTGGTGTCCTCCAAATGCCTATGTTGAAAGTCTCACTCCCAAGGTGATGGTATCAGGAGGTGGGGGTTTTCGGGTGGTGATTGGGTCATGAAGGCAGAGCCCTCATAATGGGATCATTGCCCTTATAAAAGAGGTTCCAGAGAGCTTTCTTACCCCTTTAAGGATGGATCAAGAGTTACCATCTATAGACACAAGCCCTCTTCAGACACCAAGTCAGCCAAAGCCTTGACTTGGACTTCCCTACCTCCAGAGCTGTAATAAACTTCTATTATTGATATGCCAGCCCGTCTATGGGACTTTGTTACAGCAGCCACAGTGACTCAGACACCAGGGCTCCTTGGCTCCTTTATATGCTCAGATTGATCTGAGTAGTCAGGGAGTGTTTCCTTCCTTCCTCTCCTCTTTCCCAACCCCCTTCAAATTTTGGTTTTGCTCTCTAAATTTCTCAATGTTCTAACAACCCATTTTGATAGGTTTGGGGTCTATATACCAATGAGTAGAGTGCTCCCCAAAGCCAGGCCTATCCACCTCCCTGGGTAGTTAACCTTGTCAATGGTGGTTGCTTAGTTTCACTAAACCTTTTGCAGCTAAACAGAACACAGCTTCTCCATTCATCTTCCATTCTCATTTTAACACCTACCAGCTCTTTTTTTATGGTCATGATGTCTAAAGCAATTGAAAAAGCTTTGAGATGGTTACGCTGCTGCTGTTTCAGTCATCTGATTCCTTCTGGGCTCTAGGCTGAGTCACTGCCCAGGGCAGGACAGTGGGCCAGGAGCAGCTGGCTGCTGGAAGGAGGACCATCAGGTGCCTCCTTGAGAAATCCACGCCCCCAACCTCCCAAGGGCTTGCCTCCACCGTGAGCCCCCTTTGGGGAAAGGGATCCTCTCTCTCAGTCCCCACTAAGGACATAAGGAAAAACACATCACCTGGCACCTGCCGTGCACGCAGAGGTCAGTTTCGTAAGGTCCACAGGGAGTGCCATCCAGGACCCTGTCAGCCACCAGCAGCGGGGACTCCTTCCCAAGGGGTGAGCAGTAGAGCTCACATGGCTTATCTGAGGAGGGAAAGATTGGCAGATGTTGACATGGGGAAAAACATGTGGGCCTTGTAAGAACAGGCACAGACGGGTGATGGGCAAGCCCAAGGAAGAGATTGGCAAGGTAGATACAAGTACCTGCAGCTCTGTGTGCATCTTCAGATAAACATACCAGCTCCTTTGAACACCTGACACAGCACATGGGACAACACCCTCAGACTCAGGTAACTGACAGTGTAGGTTTTCTTCCAGATTCTCTTTATCTTTTGCAAATAAACACACCATGCTGAACAAAGGTACCACTGTGAGCTTTCCTCTATGCAAGTTGACTGTGTGTTAAGGGTGAGCACAGGAGCTGCTGCTAGAGTGGGGGCAGGGAAGGAGGGGAAGGTGAATGAGAATGTCCCTGGATGAGTGCAGTGAGATCCATGGGATCTTGATGACAGTGGCTTTCACTGAAAGCTTTAGGGTTGCCCCAGCTGCTGGGTAACAGCTGCAGAGCTGTGGTATGAGGCATGAGGATCCTAGAAGAAACTGAGCAGGAGCAAGGTACAGAAAGGTGACATAGGGGCCACTGGCTGTGTCACCAGGCAGAATGGAAACTCTGGTTCCCACTGCTCCTGGAACCATGTGAGTGTCCAGCTCTCATAAGTTTGCCTAGGTTATTTCCTCTGTCTGCAAATCCATCCTTGTACTTGGCTTTCTATAAATCTCCCATGACCCTGGAAACTTCTAGCCCAGAGCTCTCACTTCTCCTACCTGCTCTGACATGGAGGATAGGCCCCTCTATGTGCACTTTCCATACATTTCCTTTAAAGCCCCTGGTTGTCTCAGTTATTTGAACAAATTTCATACATAAACCTGTTCTTGCAAGGCAGGCCCCATTGCGCATGGAAATAGGATGAATTTTAATTATAGGTTGAGCACCCTAATCTGAAAATCCAAAATCCAATATGCTCCAAATGGAAAATTTCACACTTGACCTCATGAGGTAGCAAGAGTCAAAACACGGGCATACTAAAAATACTGTGTAAAATTACCTTCAGCTATGTGAATAGGAAACACTAATTTTATATTTAGATTAGGTTCCCATCCTCAAGATATCTCACTATGTATACGAAAACATCCCCACATCAAAGAAAAGGAAAAAAAAAAACTCTGAGATTTGAAACTCTTCTGGTCCCAAGCATTTGGCATAAGGGATTCTTAACCTATGCCTTCAGACTGAAACACGGATGGGATGGGAATCCTTGGGGGTGGGGGGAAGACCAGGCTTTCATCTTTTGTCCCCAGACTGGGTCTAAAACCTAAACTCACAGGAGGACTTGGTAAATATTTTTTAATAGGTGAACAGATTTTATTTTCTGTATCTGAGCAAGAAGAACACACCTTTTCTCTCACAGTGACCTAATCCTAATGCCATCCATGGTATTATATCACAAAGGAAACCTCCAGAGAGAGAAAGACCTTTATGCTGCCTTGCTGGGCCCTTTTTCTCCCCTATCAGCCTTCCCCAGCGGGTTCCTCTGGGGGTCTGGGTTGAGCAAAGGCAGGGACAGAGAACAGCTTCTGTAGCTGATGTGGACTTGGAGGACCTTGGCATTCTAGCTGGAGGGTCCTTGTCACACAGGTACTGTCTTGATCTTTCACGATTGGATGATAGTCACTGGTCAACCCATTCAGAGGGAGATCATCTTAAAGAACTAGAAAGAAGCCCCAGGGATTTGAAGGAAGTGCTCAATTCAATTCTTTCAGCTCACTGTGGGGAAAAAACTCCTTAGACTGGCAACATAATGATGCCTCAACACTTATTCAACCAACAAGCATGGCCTGAGCCCCTCCCTCACATGAGGCACTCTGTAGGCTCTGCTGGGGAAAGAAGAATAAATAAAGCATCCTTTTCGAGGCCCTACTGGTCTCAAGGACAAGTATGGGGCTGGGTATGTGGCAGTAGCACGCTCGCCTGGCATGCGCAGGGTGCTGGGCTCGATCCTCAGCACCTCATAAAAATAAAGATGCTGTGCCCACCGAAAACTAGAAAATAAATATTGAAAAATTCTCTCTCTGAAAAAAAAAATTAAATTTTTAAAAAAAGGACAAGAATGGAACAAATCCTGGATAAGGTAAAATGTGGCAAGTCCCATGAAATGGATGAGCTCTGGGAGGGCTGGACTTAACCCTAAAAGGAATGACTCATTTCCTATGCTAGCAGGTTGTGGGTGGCTGGCTCTCCATTTGGAGAGAATGGCCCAAGGAAGCGGACAGTAGAACTAGGAAGATGGAGACATAAATTGAGATTGACTTCTAGGAAGCTCATCTGACAATATCACTGAGGTGTTTTGGTGGGGAGGCATTTGAGGTTCCCTGTGAGGGGGGAGATCAAGCCCTTTAGTCTGAATGGGCTGGTGTGTCCACTGCTCATATTGTGCTAACCCTAAAGTTTCACTGTAAAGAACTGTCCTGTCCCTTAATCAAAGGGCTTTGAAACTGTGGATATTAATTACCATTAGGCTGAAGTCCTGACTCAATACTGGGAGTAAATGGCATTCCATAGCAATGGTATTGATTATGGAAAAATCATATATAACATTTATGATCAACTATATGCCAGGCAGCATGCTAAGTTGTGTCTACACATTTCAGGTGCATGCTGTCCATCTGTCTATCACACAGTCAAGCACACAGAACATGTAGAGCACACGGAACGTGCATGCCTGGCCTCAGCCATCAGGCCACACCTGACCTCTTCACTTCAGCCCAGCTCTCTATCATCACCACCCACTCTCTGAATGCACAACTCTTGGGACCAAAACACCAGGGGCAAAATGACATTGCTGAAAATAAGTCACTAGGTTCACTAAGTTCATAGATATTTCTAGCTTCTTAGTGTATACTCTCATTTGAGCAGAAATGGAAAAGGGATATGGGTAGAAGAGTAGAAGCTACTTTGAGGAAAGTTGGAAAAACCAGTCTGGGAAGGAAGGAAGGTGGCTTGTCTGAATTTTTTTGGTATGAGAATCAGACAAGTGGAGACTATTAGCAGGAGGAGTAACCTCAGATGATGGATGTTAGAGTCTGTAAAGAAGTCAAAATAACACCTGGCATTTTGCCAGGGGAATGTTAGAGTTCGTAAACAAGTCTGGATGGTGCCTGGCAAAATGCCAGAGGGAGTGGTTTGTGAAGTAACACCAGCAAGCCATTAAGTGTGGAGATTCCTGATTGGTTGACTGCTGTATCTAGTTTATGCTAATTAGATAAGCTGTGTGGAATGTATAAATACTGCTCCTGTCCTGCAATAAACGGCTCCTACTCCTGCTGTATCAACGTACACAAGTTATTCGTCACCCCCCGGTTATTTTGCTGCAGCCAGACAGACTGCGGCAGATGGATACTGGCCATGACCCCAGGCAAGAAGGTACATTCTACTCCAGCTGTACTTGACTCTTTCACCCAATAGACACTGCCCTCCATGTCCCTGGCAGTCTAGGATACCTGGGCTATAGAACAGAGTCCAAAGGTGGCTTCCTTCCTTGGCTTGGGTGGAACTCCCTCAATTTGTTTATCTCTTTTTCTAAGGATGCCACTCACAATTCAGAGTGATCCCCACCTCCAGCACTATCTCCCGGAGGGACTGAGGATATAACCTTTTTGAAATGTGAGGTGGTGGTCAGAGCTCTTCAGAACTCTCTATTATATTCCTCTTTAGGCTTTCATAGTTAAGAAAATTAATCTCAGAGATTAAAGACCCTAATAAGTAACATGGGATGGTGAGTCTCAGTTTTGAGCAGTGTTAATACTCTTATATCCCTAGTAATACAGAAAGTGGTCAAATCTTCTCAAATGTTATACAGTCACACGCTTAAAAGAAAGACACTTGGAGCATTCCTCCAGTCTTCTGCATGGCTGGTGTGTGCTGAGATGAAATCCTGACCAAGACTGGTCTGTCTGTGGGCAAACTGGCTTCTCAAGGGCCTGACGGTTAGCTCTATTGACTGGACCAAGAGTGATTACCTAACTGTGGCCAGATCAATCAGAGCCTCTCTCTCCTGAGATCTCAGTACTGGAATTTAGATACAAAGAGATTATTTATCCTCATGGTTGATGGATCCCAAGGAAGACTTGTGGAAATATAAAAAGCTCTTAAATAAAGAAATATAAAAAGCTTTGAAAATTTCAAGTGTTTCTTTATATTTGGAAACACTCGCAAACATATTTGGAAGCAAAACCATCCTTGACTAACACGAGTTAATATCTTCCTCAGTGAGGCTTTCCTTAGGTTCCCTGGTAGAGACATACAGCTGTATGTCTTACCACAAGGTGGCTCCCAGGATCTCACCAGGTCTATTCATATTTGGTTGATGTACTGTTATTACCTTTATAACCTTAAAATTCTCTGAATTCAGAACCATACCTGGCCCCCAAAGGATTTGGATAAGGGATGTGGATTGCCATAAGAGATGCTGTGGGCAACTCTATCAGCCTGCACAGACAAGCTATGAGAGACAGTCTGCAGTGGGGGCAGCTGGTCAGGACAGTGGAGGCCATGGAGGAAGGTCCTGTCATTTTCAGAGGCCCTGGGCCCAGGCCCTCATTTGGCCCTTAGGTCCTTTGAGATACTCTGCATGTTTGCCACAGCTTTCCTTCTTTTTCATTAAGCAGCTCTGGGAAGCCTGGCTGAGTTGGAGCTAGAGAGCCCTAACTATCACATCCCTCATCCCCTAGACACTCAGATCCCGAGGGGGTTCTGCAATTTCAGGGAGAAGGAGCTGGGACTACACCACCATGTTTAGATTCGGCCTTCGCTAAGCCTTCTGACACTGAGATGGGCATGCAGCCTGCTGCTGGCCTGGGTAGAGAGGACTGAACCTTTAAAGGTTTCCACGTCCATGAGATTCCATGGGGAAGGCAGGAACAGGGTGGGTTTGGCAACTGGCCACCTCAATGGGTTTCTGTCTGAAGCCTTTTCCACATAGAAATCTTTTCTAAGGAGAGCCTTTGTCTTCTTTTGGAGGTGGTATGGACTTGTGGTCCTGAGTTCCCCCTTGGAAAGTCTACCTCTGCAAGAATTCTTTAAAAAAAAGAGAGGGAGAGAGAAAAGAAAAAATATTTCTTCTCCTTTCTTGAACCGTGCGTCACTCGCCAAAGAATTCCGCAGCGATAGCAATGTTATGAATAGGGTAGTCATAATGGGCTTCAGAAGAGCCCGGAGCCCAACCACAGGAATCGTTCCTATCACGGCTGAGCTAGAATTGTGCCTTTTATAAAGTGAGTTTTGAGAAGAGCACTTATAATCTGCCTTCTGAATTGGCCATTTATTATTTTGTGTTCACCCTTGTGAAATGCTCCTTTAAAAAAGCTGGCTTCTGTTTATATTTGAGAGAGAAATGAAGCCAAATATGCAAGAAGTCACGATGATTCCACCCCAGAGGAGAACGTGTCGAGTCACCCGAGCAAAGCCCTGAACTTGGGGTCTCTCCTTCAAGGGCAAAACACTTATGGCCCGTTAGTTGTCCTTATCAAATTGGGTTGCACTTTTCAGATCAAGGCAGTGGCACTATAGCTATAGTTAGTTATTACTTGGACAGAAAGAAATCAAAAGCAAGTGAGTGAACAGATGTATTCTAAACTCAGCGAGGTCTCCACAGAGCCTCTGTGAGGCTTCCTGGATGGGGGATCTGGGCAGACAGAAGTCTCAGCCACTGTGATGATAAGGCAACCAGAGAGCTCAGCCATCCAAAAGTGGTTAGAAGTAAAGTAGAAGTTTAAGCTGGACTTGGAGAAATCTCTGGAAAAACAGACATTGAAGTGGGATTTCTGCATTGAAAAAATAAGGCAGGAGAACTTAAAACTGAAGCAAGCAACCAAAGAAAGAATAACAACCTCATGCACAGAGGTGAGTGGTGGTGAAAAAGGGGTGAGTCTATCTTAGACTTGATCTCTTCTGGCTTCAGTAAAGAGGGAGGCGACAAAAAGGAGGTCAAAAAGTGTCTTTATCTGGCCTTTTGGGCACAGCTGCAGGTTGAGAAAGAGGCTGCTTTTCATCAGGAAAGGCCACTGAGTTGGAAGAATGGCAGGCTCTCTCTGCAATTATCTTGCTCCAGATTAGGAGTCAGAATGTGCCTGAGATGGTGGGAAGCCCCTGGTCTCCTCTAGTAGTGTAGCTACAATTACCCAGTCCCCAGAGGTGGTGTTCTTTTGAAAATGTCGGGGGAGCTCTCCAATACTTCTGAGTTCCCACATGAGCTGGTTGGTATTACCTGCCACCACTTAGAACATCACGTATCATTTCACAGTTCAGCTCAAAGTTGATGCGTCAGGCTTTTGGGCTAAAAAGCTGAGAAGCTGAAGCTGCTGTTGCTGGTGATGCCTGCTACCCTCAAACAGCTGTGCACATATGAACTTGTAATCTCAGATAGCAAAATGGAGATTTCAAAGGTTCTTCCCATCACAGGGAAAAAAACCCAAGACCTGGTGCCAAAACATCATTCTTCTGTAAAATACGTTAGAAGTTGTCTGAAAATCAGGCCCAGTTGCTTTAGTTCTTCTTAAGTCTCCCTCACTCTGCACCCGTGAAGTCATGGTTTCTGTCTTCTTCAAGCACTGGGAGCCTGATGATAACTGGTTATTTTTAGAATCAACTTTACTCCTTTGGAATTGGGGTTGGCTTCCTCCCTGCCTCTTGTCAGCTGTAGGAGCTTAGACATGTCACGTAACCTGTCACCTCTCATCTTCTGCACAGCTTGTTTTGCATATTCAATGAGATGATGTATGTAGAGCTAACGTGTGCCTGGCATGCGGTATGATTGGTAAATGGGACCATATTGTCAGCATTACAACACAAAGTCTTGTTTCCTGTAGAGGAAGAGTTTTACATGGGGGGGAAGAAAACAACCCGAACTAGACCCTGAGGTCTCCTCACTTACAATAAACAAACATGACCCACCACCTCAAATTTTATCAGTCATTAGAAATTCTGGCAACAGCCTGGTGATGTAGTCTCTTGATTTGGAAGAAAATCCTTGGAAAGAAAAATGTGACCTGTGCTTATTATCATCTTTCCCATTTCTACACTGTCTTTAAAATCTCCCCCAACAGCCCAAAGAGTAAAAGTCAATCCAAAATAAACCATGACAAGCAATGCAGGAAAGCACGAATGTTGGAAAGCAAAGTAGCACATACGCAAACACACTCCCACTCCTATAAAGCCTTGTTCTCCAACTTTGTCCTTGTCCCTCAGTACATGATGCAGGGGGCAGGCTTCCTGAATTCCCAAGTTGCTACAAATGGGGGGACAGGATGAATATGATCCGCTGCCTTGAGAGCTGCCTTGGGAGCTCTTAGAGAGCTGAGTCACTCAAGATCAAGCCCCTGCTCCAGAAGTGAGGCCAGGGCTGGTGTGGGTATAGCACTGGAGCATTCTGCTGGTGGGTCTGGCGGGGTTGAGATGGGTCCTAAGAGTCTTCTCAGGTGGTTTTTATTGTGTTTGGGGGAGTAGGGAAGGAAGCCACTGTGAATTGCCACGCATGTGCCTTTACCATCAACCACCACTGCTGCCAACAGGCCCTTCTTCTTGCTGCTGAGTCGGTCGTGTGCTTGGCACTGTTGGTCTCGGAAGCTGGGCAGACCCTTGGGACAGGGCAGACTCTCGCAGACGGCATGCTCCACACTGGCACCCAGGCAGTGTGTGCCTCCAGGTCCAGGGCTAGAAGGGAGGAGGAGATCTGCGTTAGCCGGCTGTTCTGTGCAAACAGCAGGGGCACTTCCCAGCTGTCCCCCTTGCCAGAGCAGACAGGCGTGGGAAGACATTCCTCAAGCAATCCCTTCTGCTCTTCCAGACCATCCTGGGCAACCCCAGCCCCACACTGAAGGCATGTTTCAGTGAGCCATGAGAAAAATGCATCCAAGGACTGTAAATCAAGGACATCTGGAAACAGAACACAGCAATATCAGTTCAGCAAAGATGTGTATGTAATATAGACAACTCCAAGGGAAATTTGGTGTTTTTTCTTTTCTTACTTCTCTAAAATGAAGATCTTTAAATGACTCCTAGGATACTCTAGAGGTTACCAAGTTTCAAAATGAGTAAATAAATGCTCTCATTTACTTTATGATGAAAAGAATCAATTCGAATGATTAATTCACTAGCTCATGGGCTTTTGGTGGAGACCATTTAGATCCTGGCTGTGCCATCTTAATCAGGGCTAGTGTGACTTCACACATGGTCAGTGCCACAGTCTTGAGTCCCCAGTGTTCTGTGCCTAGATGGGATTTTAAGCAATTTTGGAAACCTGGCTGGGTTCATCGGCCAAGTCCACATGTGTAGGGGGGAATCAAAGTAGAGCAGTAGGACACCATCAATCTGGACAAAGCATGGCTCTGCCAAGCTCCCCATTAAGGCCCTGGGGTGTTGTCCTCAGAGGACTCTACCCAAGGCAACCTCAATGGTTCCATTGATCTTCAAGATGCCAAGAACATTAAGATAGAATAAGATTTCTTTCTATTTTTTTTTTTTTTTTTGTACTCTATCCTTTTGGTTGAAATTCAGCATAAGGGTGAAAAGGGCTCAAATCACAACTGTTCTGTTCCACGAGTTTTCACAAACTGCAGGTACCTGCTAGAAGCAAGACATTTTGAACACATTAAATTGTTGAGAGTCACAGCCGAAGCGGCCCCAGCAAACTTCCAGCTGATTGGCTCACAGCTGCCCCAGCAAACTACCAGCTGATTGGCTCCTCTGCGGTGATGTTCATTGGGCTGTTTCCCTGCCCTTTCAGAACACGGAGCCAAAAGAGTCCCCCCAAAGAGCAGCTCCATGTTCTGAAAGGGCAGGGAAACAGCCCAATGAGCTTCACCCCAGAGGAGCCAATCAGCTGGAAGTTTGCTGGGGCCCCTGTGAGCCAATCAGCTGGAAGTTTGCTGGGGCCGCTTCGGCTGTGACTCTCAACATTAAATGATTCTTTTGGGATATGCTTTTCCCTGTGCCATTTCCCATGTTCAAATGGCAGGGCCACCCTGTGATTATGGCTTTAGGAGAGAGATCTAAAAGCAGAAAGTGGTAGAAGTCTTACGCTTTTGTGTCATAAAAGCTCACAGAAGAGGTCAGTGAGATTTTTTTTTTTTTTTTTTACAAATCAAGAGCAGGGAGTGAACATTTTTGGTCTTATGGGTCATGAAGTCTCTGTTGCAACTACTCAGCTCTGCCACTGTAGCACAAAAACATCCAGAAGTGACATGTAAATAAGTGTGACTGTGTACCAATAAAACTTTATTTACAAAACCAGATGGTTAGCCAGATTTGCTTCAGGGACAATAGTCTGCTAGCTCCCGGTCCACACAGATGTTTTACAGCAAACATCTCAGGTAGAGGAAAGGCTCCCTTCATACCTCTGTGTCTGCATATGTACAGGAAGGCAACCTCCTTACCTGGGAGTGGAAGGAGTCTGAGTGATTACATACCCTGGTAGCTCTGTTGGGAGGCTCTGAGTTCTGGTCTCCAAGTTAGGTTCAAGTTAGGAAATGGCCAAACCTCTAAAAGGTTTATGGGATTTGAGAACAGAGGGTCCTTGTGTTCTGTATCCTGCTTAGAACACCAGGCAGGCAGCCAGACCTCAGAAAAATGATTGCAAAGTATATTTACGCAGACTGAATGTCAGACCACCTCCCCAACAACTCTGGGCCCAAGCATGGACAGAATGGATGTACTCCTGTACCATAAAGCACTTTGTGGAAGAGGAGAGGGGCTGGACCCAAAGAGCCACATGGGCAGCAGTAGAGACATCTCCATAGCAATAGGTAAATTTCCATGACGGGACCAGGAAGAGCTGTAGCAAAGGATGTTACAAGTTACACTGTGTCCCTCTTGCCTAAATTCATGCTGAAGTCCTCACTCCCAGTACCTCAGAATGTAACCTTATTGGGAAATAAGGCCATTCCTGATGCAATTAGTTAAGATGAAGTTGCAGTGGGATGCAATGAACCCTTAATCCAATATGACTGGTGTCCTTATAAAAAGGGAAATCTGAAGACAGGGAGAATGCCATGAGATGAAAGAAGAGATCAAGATGATGCTTCTACACTCCAAGGAACACCAGAAAATGCCAGCAAACTACAAGAAGTTAGGAGGAAGGCATGGAAAAGGGACTTATTAGGATTCTTTGAGGGGACCAGCCCTGACGGCATCCTGATCTTGGACTTCAAGCCTCTGAAACCATAAGAAAATAAATCTCTTTTGTTTAAACCTCTTAGTACGTGAAACTTTGTGACAGCCATTCTAACAAATGAATGTACAAGATGTAACAAGGACCAGACACATTCTCATAGATTACAGATTCAGACTCGGAGAAAGTGGTGCAAAGACTAAATAGTTTAGGACCCCAAATGGACTGGAATGGAGTTAAAAATATAAATTTGTCTGGTTTCTAAAAGAATCAGAAAAGATCCAATTCCTGTACACCTTGGAGTGTAGACTGTTATTTGTGCCTGTCATGTAATTAATTCCCTGAGTTGTCACTGAGCTTCATTTCACCTTCAGTTCCATCCATTTCCACCAAATTCTTTCTCTAGGTTTACATCGGACTGACCCACTTACATCCTACCATCTTTACACCTGTCAGTGGGTAGGTGGAGAGGAAAAGGGTCACGATTTAATGGAGGTCCTGGATCCAGGAGAACATGGACCTTGAGAGCAGAAGACCGCACGATGCCTTGGGTGCTTCAGCATGCCGCCCTCCACATGGGTTTGTGCTGCTGTTTCTGTGTCCAACCTTCTAGCCCTCTTTCTAGCTTACTGCACTGTCATCCCCATGCCCCACCCTTAACTCTCTTCCATCCCTGAGGCTATCTCTGCCATACATTTTTTTCCTATCCACAGCCTTTCCTCATCTTCTTTGGGTCTGTATGAAGCTGCTGACCATCCATCAGCCATGTGAAATGGTGAGCTGGGTGCCTGTCTCCCTCCTCTTCTCCTACAGTCTCCAGTGAAGAACCCTGAACAGGATAGTCTTATAAACAATAGACTGCATTGAACTATATTATTAGAATTTATCTTACAATGAATGAGGGGGGAAGGAAAGGGAGAGTCAGGGAAGACGGCAGAGTAGGAAGTGCCAGGAATCCATCTGTCAACCTAGACAACAATTCAATGGGCAAAAACTGTCTGAAGTAACTATTTTTAAATTCTGAAGTGTATTTGAAAGCGTTCGGGTTCCAGGAGAGAGACTGACTAGTGATTTACAGTTAATTGTGGTCAATATTAGCTTTTAATGTGGCAGCAGTTACTATTCATCCTCCACTCCCCAGTCCCATGGTAAGCAGCCAAGATGTAGCTTGATGGAGCTGGGGCAGAGGATAAAGACTTGATCCTCCAAATATCCAGTTTCTGTGTTCTGAATGCTGCTTTTGATTGCTGAGGTACAGACACAGAGGCTGGCTGACATTGTTACAACCCTCACCAGGTAAAACAGCTTCCAGAAGATTTCAAGGAGCAGCACTTTTTTTTTTTTTTTATTTAAGACATTGAAGGATTAAACACAACTGAATACCCAGGAGAAGTTAGAAGGCCGTGAGGCATGCTCAGGAAAAGACTCGTGCCCAGAAAAGACCTGAGGAAGCCTTAAGCTTTCACTTCATTCCTGACATGGCTGATACCATCCAACCATAACAAAACAAACTAAACAAACACATCAAACCCCAAATTACTATAAAATTCTAATGTCCATTTCTCAGTTAAAAAAAAAAAATCACAAGGCATACAAAGACACATAAAAGCATAGCTTATTCAAAGGAATAAAATACATGAGCAGAACTTTCCTGAGGAAACCCAGATGTTGGACTTAGTAGACAGAACAACTTCAGAACAACTGTCTTAAAGATAGTGAAGAGCTGAGGAAAACATAGACAAAGACAGGAAGATAATTATGAACAAAATGAGAATGCCAATAAAGTGAAATTTAAAAAGGAAAGAAAAATAAAATTTGGAGGAGTTGGAAAGTTTGATAACCAAACTAAGCGTATTTTAGCAGGCCAAAGAAAGAATCTGCAAACTTGAATATAGGAAAATAGAAATGATCAAGCCTGAGAAGAAGAAAGAAAGAATAAAGAAAAGCGAATAGAGGAGATCTGTGGAACACCATCAAGTGGACTCATGACACATTATGGAAGTCTCAGAAGGAGGAGACAAAGGGGTAAAGAGATGATATGAAGAAATAATGACTGAAACCTTTGTGAATTTGAAAAAAAGAAAAGAAGTTAAAAATTCAAGATCAGCAAACTTCAAGTAGGATAAAGATGCAGGGGCCCACACTGAGTCACATTAAAATGAAACTGTCAATATACACGTGGAAGAACCAAGGGAACAGAGAAATACTGCACAGAAGACATCTTCAATAAGATCGTCAAGATTTTTTATCAAAACACACTGGACTGGTATATTCAAAGTGCTAAATAAAATAGATAAAATAAAATAAAACTGCCAACCAGAATTCCGTATCAGGAAAACTGTCCTTCAATAATGACAGGAAAATAAGACTTTCATATATAAACAAAAACTGAGAAAGTTTGTTAGCAAAGAGCTACATCATGAAAAATGCTAGAGGGAGTCCAAGTTCAAATGAAAGGATTCAAGATGTAAACCGGAAGGCATAGGAAGCATTAACATCTCCAGTCAAGCAGGCATGAAGCTAAGCTTTGTTGGTACAATGCACT